AGTAAGGGCTGGCTGAGGAGTGAGGGAACAGAAAGAAAAGTTTCAACTTGTGTTTTTCCTCCCAACAGAACAAGGAGGCCTCAGGGTTTTGTAAATGGGCATGGAAGGATGTCTTATCTTTGAGGGAACATAAAATGATGGCTTTATCCTTCATTTATTCATCTGTAATTCATCAGGATAAATGCAATATTCTTTTAGAAGAATAGGATTCAGGGCCTTAGTATAAAAAAAGGGGGATTCATGAATAATATCCTAAAATAAGAAATAAACAGTAAGCTTGGATTATGGATCTGCCTTAATAAGACAAGAGACAGGTACTGGCATGCTGGATTTTTCCAATAGACATCCAACTTTCATCCTTAAAATCCACAAGTCTAAAACTGAATTAATCATTTCTCTCCTAATCTGACTTGTCTCTTAGCCTAACCATTTCTCTCAATGACACCTCTATCATACCATCTATATTAAAGTCCTCATTCATAATTTTTGATTTCTCCTCTTCCCTTACCCTGAGCCAATATGGAAGCTCAGCAAGAGTACAGGCCCTAAGAGGACTGATGATGTCTGCCTCATCCTTTTATCCCCAGTACATGACACAGACAAAGTCAATGCAGTCATGACCCCTGTCCTCTTGGAGCTTACTATCCAGTGCAGGGGAGACATCCATTAAATATAATTACAAGTTGTTATAAGCACTTTAAAGAAAACTACTTGGTTTCTATGAAAGGAAGTCCAAGGGAACTCAATTAAGACAAGGGATGGTGGTAGTCTACTGTCTCTCGGGCAGTGAAACTGAGCTGAGACTAAAGGTAAAGTATGAGGTAGCGAGGCAAAGATTGGGGAAGAAGAAAAGCAACATGCAGGAAAATCCAAGGACAGGAAAGACCTCAGCACAGTTTAGGAAATGCAGAAAAAGGCCAGTAAGACTGGAGGTAATAAATGGGCTATGCAGTGAACTTACAGGCAATATTAAGGAGTTGGATTTTATCTCATACTCCCACGCAATGCAAAACCTAAAAAGCTACGTACATGATACACTTGCATGTCTTAAAAAGAACACTGCTGGGTAGAAAAGGGAGGGAAGCAAGACTGCAAACAAGCAGACCATCCAGCAAAGCTCCTGCAGTAGGACTAGAAAGAGGTGAGAGCGACCCGAAATCGCTGAAGCCATCTTCATTTCCAGGGTCTAGCATAGCTCCTGGTTCATGTAAATAAATAAGCCAAAAATAGGTATCAGCACCAGTTCTTACAGCTGACTTTCATGGTATTTCCACCTGTTTCAGTATGGAGGCATCCTCCAGTTTCCTTCTTAGATACATTTATTTTCTACAGTCATTTTTAGTCAACATCATGATAAAAAATGTTTAGATAGCATCTAACACCTATAATTTAAAGTCCAAACTCAACTGCCACATTAAACTCTTTATGAAAGTAGAAGTATAATTTTTATAAATAATAAAAAATTATAAGACTATCCCTCACAGAATTATTTACAATAGCAAAACAGAAACCACCTCTATTTGTATGGACTTCAATATAAAAAAGTCAAACTATAGTAACTCCTTATAAAATGAAATATTATGCCATCCTCAAAAATGTCTTCAAGGAATATTTAATAATGTGGGGGAAAGTAAAACTGCTAAGTAAATTAAACTGAATACATATATAACATGATATTAAGTTCAATTTTTATAAGAAAGCACAGATATACATATATATATGACCAAAAAGAACAAGTACAGAACAATGAGGGATTGCGAAGTTACAGATGATTTTTAGTTTCTCAATATGGTTTCCTATTTTCTACAATAGTAATACTCCTATTCTCAGAAAAATTTCCTGGTAATGGTTACATCTAAGAGGGAAAAACTTCTTCATCCTCGCTCCATATTGCTCTCGCGACCTTTGTTCAAGTCTGAAACTCTGGTTCCCATAGACCTGTTTCTACCACTGCCTGCACATGGCCTCCTCCTGCCCTGCAGCGGAGTCTGTGAGGCCTCCCTCTGTAGCACAAGCCCTGCTCTCAACATTCACTACACAAGCATGCATCGGACATAACACATGCTGCCCTGACTCATCAACTTCTGTGTCTTTTTCTCTTATCTTCTCTGTCAAGTTCACTAATTACAATGTGTTTTGGTTTCTGGTCTAGCCTTATTACACCAAGCACAACATCATTTTTTTTTTTTAAAGATTATTTATTTATTTGAAAGGCAAAGTTACAGGGATAGAGAGGGAAAGACACAGGGAGATCTTCCATCCATTGGTTCACTCTCCAAATGATGCAATGGCCAGGGCTGGGCCAGAACAAAGCCAAGAGCCAGGAGTTTCTTTGGGTCTCCCACTTGGACGCAGGGGCCCAAGCACTTGGGCCATCTTCCATTTCCACTGCTTTGCCAGGCCACAGCAGAGAGCTGGACTGGAAGTGGAGCAGCCAGAACAGGAACTGGCACCCATCTGGGATGCTGGTGTTGCTGGCAGTGGCTTAACCTCCTATGCCACAACACCAGCCCCCAAGTACAGTGTCTTCTATACTGGCATTCAGTATTGGTTGGCTGCCCAGAATGTAGAATTTATTTCAATATAGGAACCACTGGTTCTAAGAAAAGCATGGCCAGGATCTCCTAGGCCCCGGCTGCTTTGTGGCCAATAATGGTGGCCATACTTTACGTTTCAAATCAGAGCTGGCTGGCACCAGCACAGTGTTAGCAGGCTAAGCCTCCACCTGCTGCACCAACATCCCATATGGGTGCCAGTTCGTGTCCCAGCTGCTCCTCTTCTGATCCAGCTCTCTGCTTATGGCCTGGGAGGCAGTGGAGGATAGTCTAAATGCTTGGCCCCTGCACCTGCATGGGGGACCCAGAGTAAGCTCTCGGCTCCTAGCTTCAAATAGGCGCAGCTCTGGGCATTATGGCCATTTGGGGAGTGAACCAGCAGATGGAAGACCTTTCTCGCCGTGTCTTCCTCTCTCTCTCAGGAACTCTGCATCTCAAATAAATAAATAAATAAATAGTCTTTTTGAAAAATCACATATGGCTATGGCAAGGAGGAGATTTCATAGAAGGTCTAGCTCAGCTCTGAAATTAAAATTGTGTTCTAAAGTTGTAGAGGGCCTCTCAGAGGGGCAGAGGCAGAGCCAGGGCTGGAAATGTGACGCCTCTAGATTCAGTGGTCTAATTCCCAGTGGGTACTATGGCAGCTGACTCCAAAGGCCCTTCCCCTTGATTCTTCAAAGAACAGAAACTGGCAAGTAAGTTTGGAAATGTCCATTTAATTTCCTGAATGTCCACTTGCCAGTCTGGAGAAAACTAATTTGAGACTGCCATTGTGCTTTTCAATCTGAATATGAAAGGTGCACTGACAGTAAATGAGAGTCCTAGTTTTTAAGCTTAACCATTAGGCACTTTAAAAATTGTTTTTACAGCAGCATAGCACAGAGGCCAGATAATCTGATCACAAATTCCTCCCAGGGACACACAATTAAAAGCACAATGTAGTGCACTTGTGAGGTTACACCAAAAATGAATGAATTCAGGCCTGGGTGAAGTCAGGCTGTGTGACACAGGCTTATGAAATTGGCATGGAAGGTACACTGAACAACTCCAGGAAGACATATTAACGTCACCGATGAATAATTATTCTGATAGAGCACTAAGATCCTATGAGGTTAGCCTGTGATTTGAGTTGACAGCTTTGCTTATAAACATTGGTTCTAAAATATACCAATTAATGATTCATTTGAATCCTGTTCTGCTCTGATACTGTCCAAATTCTGGCATTTCGTGTCATGCCACCGTCTTTTACCATGTAAATTTTGGTTTTTATCAAGGCAAAAAGGGTAAAAAATATTTTCAAGTGAAAATAATACAAATAACAAAGGATCTATTTTACTGTTGTGAACCCTGACAATTTCCTTTTTGCATTAAAAAAAGATAATAAGTGTCAAACCAGTTATTATAACACATGACAGCTTCAGAATTGAGATGGCATATCCAGCTTTCTATTATTCAATACGGACACATGGGAAAAGAGCAAACAGTTTTCTAACAGATTTCTCTGCCTCAATGCCAATATGGCAAATAATCATGTAAAAATGTTATTACTCTACCTAATTTTCCCTTGGAGCTTTTAAATAGACACTTTGGTTAACTGGTTTTTAAAACATGCACTGGGAGCAAAGACAGCAACTACTATGAGGGGCCTTGCCAGTGACATCCAGCCTTCAGTGAGGTGACAACTGGAGTGGGCGGGGTTTCAAGATGATTAATAATGGCTGAGGACCAGGGGAGGTGGGACAGAGACAGATGCTTTTGCTAAAATGGAAGAGCTCCTGAAATGGCATGGATTCCACTGAGGCAGAAGTTGAGGAAAGGAAAAGAGAAAACTTAATCTGTACTTTCTTTCTATATTTACTGGGGATGACTGTCAAAGTTAGAGTCCAATAGAGCAATCCAGTTATAAAAGGAATAGAAGCCAAATCAGTAGTCCACCTTCATCCTCACAGGATATGTTCCATCACCTCCCAGTAGATGCCTAAAACTGCAGGGAGTACAAAACCCTATAAGTACCATGTTTTACCTATTTATACCTATGGTAAAGTTTAAAGATTAGGAACAGTAACAGGATAGCAATAAAAATAAAATAGGACAATTATAACAATATATTTGGATACAAGTTATTTAAAATTCATGAATTATTTATTTTTAGAATGTTTCATGTAATATTTTCAGGCTGTGGTTGATTGCAGGGTCACTCAATCTGTGGAAAGTAAAATCACTACTAAGGGAGAACTATGGTGGTTACCACAGTGTACTAGAAACTGAGAGTGATTCCTGTCAATTGGCCTTCTCCTACTATGTGCTAGATGTCATGCCTGAATAAAACTGAACACACAGCTTACTTTATAAGAGCAAACTCTTGGCTACAACACATATCAGGCTGCAATCATGCTCAAAATAAGATCTTCAGTAGAAAGACTGCATTTTCCTTTATACCTAAAATAAAAAAAAACCTGTTTAGCAAACAAAGTTATCCTTATCTGAAATGCTTCTAAAGTCTGTGCTTGCTATTTATGTAGGGGCCTTTTAGATAACACCTTCTCTAACTGTTGCCAGTTCTCGCATTTTACCACTGAACAGTATCTGTATTTGCTGATTTTATTTTGTCACTAATGCTATCATAACTTAATGCTATCAGGGAATGAGAGAGAATCAGTGCTGATTAGAGTTCAGGAAGTGAGGATGAAAGCAATACTAACTGGGATACTTGTTTTTGTAAAGCCTCTGCAGGAGGTCTTCTTATCCTGAAGTCATTTAGGAATTCCTAATGACTCAAACTGAGCAAAGATCTGCAGACAAGTCCTGGAGACACACCGGGTGGGCGCTCTGTGGTGAGGCAGTTTGGATAGAAACAGAATTCACAGTCTTTGGAGTCAGACAAACTTGCTTTTGAAATCTGGCCAAATGATTTTTTTTTTTAACTATGCAACCACTCTGAGCATCTATTTTTTTCACCTGTAAAACTGAGAATGCCTTCACTACAGAGATGCTGGACAGGATTAGGTGAGACCAAAGTATGGGCTGAGGGCCTAAGAGGAAGTAGCACGCGGTCAGCATGCTGCTGCTTCTCTCTTCCCTCAAATGCCCTCCACGAGGGAAGAGGCCAGAAGTTCACACTGTTTATCACTAGTCTCTGAGTGTGCATATGTGGCAATGAGGTGTGCAAAGGAACATTACGTACATTTGTGAGTCTATGTGCTCGTGAACTGTGCCACCTTTAAAATATTTTATTTTATTGACTATAGCATTAGTTTACCCTCGTAAATCATCTGGCACATCCATTTACTGGTGTTTTAGGGATCTCTGGGCTCAGGAATACTTGAAAAATAGTCTATAAGTATGATCTGATTATCCTGTCTCCCATTTTCTTTTCTTCTTTTTTCAGAGGATTATAGAGCCAGTAGTGAGGATGGCATTAAACCTTGCCATTTATCTACAACTATTTTCTCCCCTTTCTGTACCATGGAATTTGCCTTTTTCTTCTCAAAATCTCCTCAGAGGGCCACTTTTGGTCTCTTCACTGACAGGAAACGTGGATAAGTAGACAAAGCACAAAACAAAAAGAGGGAAGAGAGAGGGGTCCTTGGCTGCTGGGTGGACACTGCCTTATTTCTCTTGTCTTCAATGCTTATTTCAGCAAGTACAAGGAAGAGCTGAGAAGCCCCGTTTTCCTGAGGAGGGGTCTGAAAAATCGCCAGGCTGAAAAGCAGAGGAGCCTCTGGAAATGACAAAAGAGGCTGCCGCTGTATCCTGACCCAGTTGCCTTGGCGTGTTTTGAGAGCTCAGATTCCATTTCGTATTTATCATAAGAAAACCAGAATTATAGCTCCAGGAGGAGCTACAAGTTGTGTTCCCTTTGGTCTCAGATACTAACACGTTCTACCTGAAGACGGGCTGCTGAAGCAGATTGACAACCTTTCTATTACCTCAGCTGAAGGCGGAGACAAAATAAGTCTCAGGAGTTCTCAGAAAGCTGAAAAAGTTCTCTGTAAACTATGTTGTTATCAAATGGAAAGTACAAGAACATGACTGAAACTTTACTCATGGAGATTTCCTGGGCTTGGCTCTGGTTACGAGAAAGTGAGGGGACGCTGATTGGGGTCCTGTATGCAGCACTGCACAGCGACAGGAGTCCAGAACCACAACCTATCCAGACCCAGGACCACTTCCCACCCAAAGAGCACTGTCCAATCCTGCTTAACTTAGCACTGACTTTCCTGTGTATCTGATGACCCATGAGCTGTCCACGGGGAAAAAAAGGACAGACAGCAAAGAGAAAGTTTGCAGTCCTAAATGTGAGTAAAACCATACATTGGGTACGAGGGGGTAACTAGTTCTCAGCGCACTGGAGAAAGGAAATCCCACTGCTTCAAAACTTCCTAGCATTTTAAAATTCACTGCTAAACAAGGTAACTCTCCCTTTCCGGAGTACATCGGTGTGACTGGGCCACCAAGCCACACTCACGGATGCTGTCATTACTGCTCAACTGACACACCCCAAACAAGAAGTTTTGCTTCAGAATCCAAGCCCCAAGTTACAAACAGCATGCAAATCTTTACATAAATGACCTTTTCTATAAGACTGCTAAGAGAAATTCAGAAGAGGAAAACAGCAGTGCTCGAGATCTGCCTTTTCTGAAAAGCATCCTTTGGAAGAGGACAGAGTACATTCTTTGGAACCAGATAGCAGTAGTTTCAAATCCTTCCCTTGCCCCTGACCAGCCGTCTGACTCTGGGCAAGCTTTTCGATATTCACCTTCCTCACCTGTAAATAAGGAGAGTGCTGCCTTTCCCTGTAGGGCTCTTGTGGGTTGAGAGACAGCATGCATTCAACACCCAGCAGAGGGCCTGCCCTTTGTCAGTGCTCAATAAATGGTAGCTTATTTCTACTACTCCTGATGTTAAAGGACATCCACAGATACTCTTCAGCACTCTGTTTAAGAGCTTTTATGAAAGTGTAGGTGACGCTGGCAAAAGTCCTGTCATGTAGAGCGTCAGTGGATTACACACTCAGTTTTAGCCTCCCATTTAAATTAGGCATGGGCAAGAACATCGAACTCTTTTCAGAACACTTCTATTCTGGGGCCCTGAGACTGTCTCCACACAAAATAGCATAAAAGTAAAAAGCTCTAGTTTTGTTTGCAGTTCATGTATAGAACATGCCAGCAACTCCCATCAAACCCATTATTCTAAAGAATAGAGTGCACTCTGCGATCCATCTGAACAGTAGTCTGACAATGTGCCTGGCTTCCTTCCCACCTGTCCTAAGTCTTTTCTTCCTCTGAGAAGATGATTCCAATATTAGTTTTAAATCCAGTGCCCATTCAAGACTGGAAATTTCCTGAAGAGATCATACTGCCGGTAGATGCCACACAGTCACCACACAGGCCTGACAGTAAGATCCAACATCTGTAAATGTGGGCTGTGTTCAAAATCTTCCTGGGGATGTAAGTTAGCACCTGGGCACCTTTAGCAATGCAAAAAATTCCCTCCTCTTGGAATTGCTCTCTAAACATACAGCATTACATTTGGACTCAAAAATGTCTTTTGTGGCTGGCCACTTGGCTAATCCTCCGCCTGCGGCACTGGCACCCCTGGTTCTAGTCCCAGTTGGGGTGCTGGATTCTGTCCCGGTTGCTCCTCTTCTGATCCAGCTCTCTGCTATGGTCCGGGAGTGCAGTGGAGGATGGTCCAAGTGCTTGGGCCCTGCACCCTCATGGGAGACCAGGAGAAACACCTGGCTCCTGGCTTTGGATCAGCGTGGTGCGCCAGCCGCAGCGGCCATTGGGGGTGGTGACCAACAGAAAAGGAAAACCTCTCTCTGTCTCTCTCTCTCTCTCTAACTCTGCCTGTCAAAAAAAAAAAATGTCTTTTGTTCTCCATAAGCTTCTCTGAGGAAAAAAGAAGTAAAGATAAAAACATGGACCCTTGAAAATCCCATTGAGCAGGGGAAAGCAAAACAGGTAGACATCATTCTTCCATGTGAGGATGCCCTGCTGGTGTGAAGTGGAGAGAAGAGGGATGGCACACAATCTTTTAAGGTGCAAGCACGTTCACAGACAGATACCTTCCCAGAGTGTGCAAGAACCTAGCTTCCTTCGAGAAGACAACACAGCACTATGTAATTCAAATTAATTCCTCTCTGAATGAGAGCAGAGTAACAAAGACAGAACTTGGCAAGATGGCACAGCACAGTGAGTGCAGAATTGTATTCCCAGTTGATACATGGTAAGATGTTGGGTTGTCAGCTTAATGTGACATAAAATGAGGCTGCACACTTTCTAAACACTGTAAAGTGTTTAGAAAAGTAAAATTCAGGGGAATGATGAAGGCAGCAATTTAGTGAGTCTGGAGAAAATGAACTCTGTGGGGTGGGATTGTGACCTTTCTTCAGCTGGTATCCCAAAGGCTTCTGGGGAGAGGAGACCCATGATTAAGAGGCCAGGGCTAGCTCCACCCCCTGATGGAAATGCAGCACCATTTGCTACCACCTGGAAGCCTAGAGGAAAAAAAAAAGCTCGGTGTGGAGACCTCCCGTCTATTACAGGCAGGAGTGAAAAGTGCGAGAGAAAGCTCCCAGAATCAACAGTGGTGAGCTGGGGTCACACAGAAAGGAGTCATGAAGGCATACAACCTCCTTTACTCACATGGCTTCTTTCAGGGCAACTCATTTCATGATACTTCATGCAGGTGGTTAAAAGAACAGTTGGGCTGGATACATCTTACTGTACATCACACAAATCTGGAACGCCCATGGGACATTAATTTCAGGGCATGTATTGCTATTATGTTCTTACAACCAGCCTCTTTGCCAGGGGCAGCTTGTAACTCAGAAATTCATATTTCATGTAGGATATGCTGTATAACACTGAAGAGAAAAGCAGTTATTTTGTTTCGTTGTGCTTTTTCCCAATCCAACTAGATAGAAAGGCATCTGGGAAACAGCTACACATGCTTACCCAAACTTTCTGTAAAGTTGTTCTCATTCATCTGGGCACAAGTCTGCTGAGGTCCTATCTCCTTACCATTTACTCTTGCAATGAACACGCTACCTTCTCTGCCATTCTGAGACCCCCACAAGCAATCTGACCATGCTGGGATTTGCTTTTCTCATACACATTTGGTTCTCACTTTGTCCTGAACCCAGAAAGTGCTTCCCTCTGTAGTCTGCCAGGCACGAACTCATTCCTACTGAGAGGAGCTGTTAAAATCCTATCTCTTTCCAAGTGGTAGTGAGGTGGTTCTTTTCAAACTTTTACCTGCTTCTTAACTCTGGTGAGCAGTAACAATTTATTCAACTAAAAAGAGAAACCATGTTAATTCTAAGTATTGCAAACACTAAATTTTATTCATGCTCTTGAATTGCTTTCCTTTGTACCCATGTCTGTATAGCTGTTATATGAGTCCTTTGTTCTGATATAGCTGTCACTCCTTCAACTCAGTCTTGCCAAAGACTAAGCTGTGTCTGGAGATACAAAGATACCTGTTCTTCTTGAAGAGACACCAGTTTAGTGAGGAAGACAGACAAGTAAACAGATCTGTATCTGAGATATATGGCATGAATAGGGAAAAATTATGTGGCACAAATAACTTAGCAAGGGGGTGGCGAGAGGCATAACATACCACAAGGATAAGAATCAGCAAAATGCAAAAATTATGAACATGCAGGTAATGCTTCCATTTTTGCCTCATTCTCTCTTCCCATGCACATCCATGCTACACACTCTGCCTTTCCTCCTGCTGTAAAGGAAGCAGTGATCTCATTCATATCTAAAGCCAATCTTCCACTTGAGCTCAAGATCCCAGCCCCTCTCCAACAATCAGGGACACAGACCCTGCAAAGATCCATTCTCCTCCACGATCAAATCCTTCCTCCTGTGGTGTCACTCCAACTTGCATGCACACAACCTTAACATCTTCCTGTCTTGACCCTCTTACTCTGACAGGAGTCCCCCCGCCCCCCAAGCTCTTCCTCAATCCTCTGCTTCCCTTCCCAGGGATGCTCCTTTCAATTTCTTCATTTATTGCTATCCCTAATTCCCCAGGCTCCACTCTCTCCTCCCACAAAGCCACTGAAATTGCAGTTAACAAGGTCACCAATAAGTTCCATCTTGTTAGATCCATGAGTCACTGCTCTGTTCTCACCCGTCTTTGTAAAAGCCACAGCCCACCTCTGTTTCCCCTCCGTCTGTGTTAAGACTGTCTTCTGTAGGCTTCTGTGAAAATTCTGCCCATGTTTTCTTCCTGCTTCACCGGCAGCTCCTTTCCATTCTCTTCCATTCTCTTCTTTTCCTTGCTTGCCTGCCTTCTTATGCCCCCTGTAGTCCATTCTCCCACTAGATCATGCTAGAATCACCTTTCAAACATGTAAACCAAGTTCTCTTCTCACCCAGCTTAAATCCCTCATGGTTTTCCATTATGCTAAGAATTCCACACTGTCAAGGACCCAGTTTCCCTTCTCCCTGCCCTCATTTCTAGCCACACGGTTCCCCAGCACCCTACAGACTACCCGCCAGCTTTCAGATACACATGACCTTCTGTCCTGGTCCTCAAACATCCAAGCTAGTTCCCACTTCACAGCTTTTACCCATGCTGTTCACTAGCCTGGAATGCTCTTCCCTTAGCTCACTGCAAGGCCAACTTCTTAGAATGAAAATCTTGGCTCAGCTGACTTCTTCACAGAGGCCTTCCCTGACCATCCTGCTCAAGCACCCCTTCCCAGAACTCAGCCACCTGCTAGCTCATTTCCCACTCCAATTTATTCAAAACATTACAAGAATCACATTCATGTCTTCACATTTCATCTCCCTGTCCTGATAGAATGTAAGGGGCATGGAGCAGGGACTCGGGCTTGTCCACAGCTGGAGGTCCGAGCTCAGGCATGGTACTTAGCATTCTATAGGTGCTCTGCAAATATTACTCGTGCATAAGTGAAAAGATGATGAAACCCTTGTTCACGACCCTGTGTTTCAGCTCTGTACTGTGCAATCGCAGAAGGGCACTGCAAGGGGAAAGGAGAGACATAAAAATAACGAGTGTGCAGGGGAATCAGACCTACGGAACTAGAATTACTGAAGGAGTGTTTTATTTGTGTTCTTCAGGGAGTCATCACTAATTTTTTTATGTCTAATGAGAATTAAATAAAAGGGGATGGACTTTCGGTTCAGGAAACTGGTACAAGCTCTAGAGTAGGTGAGAAATGGGTTATAAAAACACTTTTATGGGCCAGCGCCGCGGCTCACTAGGCTAATCCTCCACCTTGCGGCGCCGGCACACCAGGTTCTAGTCCCGATCGGGGCGCCGGATTCTGTCCTGGTTGCCCCTCTTCCAGGCCAGCTCTTTGCTGTGGCCAGGGAGTGCAGTGGAGGATGGCCCAAGTGCTTGGGTCCTGCACCCCATGGGAGACCAGGATAAGCACCTGGCTCCTGCCTCCGGATCAGCGCGGTGCGCCAGCCGCAGCGCGCCGGCCGCGGCGGCCATTGGATGGTGAACCAACGGCAAAAGGAAGACCTTTCTCTCTGTCTCTCTCTCTCACTGTCCATTCTGCCTGTCAAAAAAAAAAAAAAAACACACACACACACACAAAAAACACTTTTCTGGGATTGACTATTATTTGAGATTATAATCAGTTCTTAAGGAAGAACACTGAAATTCCTTTTAAAATAAAAAGATATAGTGATAACTCTGTATCAGTTGAGTGCCTCCTGCATGTCAAGAGCCACATCTCCTCTGGCGTTTGTGGCAACCCTATGAGACAGGTACCAGTACTGTTCTCATTGCAGAGCAGAGAAGGCTGAGGTGTAGTACAGCTAACTAACCTGAAAAGGCCACACAGTTGATAAATGACCAGCTGCAAACAAATCAAATCCATCTGATGTAAATCTGTGCTCTTAATCCCTACGTTGAGAAGGAAGAGTTTAAAGCCCTGAAAGCATGAGAGTTAACTTCTTGAACCTTCACCCAAATCTAGGATTTTAAAGAACACCTTTAAAAGGCTCTAACAATGTATAGTCTATATTTGAACTTTTGGTTATTATAGATATTTGAGAAATTGGACAAAATAATGGGTTTTATCTATCACATAAATACTCTTCTGTTATCCTGAAGGATTTTTTTTTTAATAGTCTGAAGACCTATCTCAGAGATGTTGGAAAAGAAAATCAAGTTTGCAAAGCATCACTAGGTATGACAAAATAATTTCATGTTCCTCTCAGGTTTTGGACAGAGGTCAGCCTACAAGCCAAGACTGGATTTTTACATTTTTAAATGGGTTATTTGAAGAAAAGCATGTAAGAGAGACTTTAAGTGGCCCAAAAAGCCTGAAATATTTCCTGTCTAGTCCTTTACCTAGTTTGTTGACATCTTAACACTGAATGCAAAAAGTACACAATGACTATAATAGAAAATAAAGTCCCCAGCTAAGAAAAAGCAACTCCATGAACGTTTTCGAAAGTGTCCAAGGGATATGTGTTGTACACCATCATAAACAAAACTCGCCAGGGTCACGTTTTACAGTAGATCTGGCCTCCCAACTTAGGGCTGCGATGCTAGTGTGCAACATTCAAAATAAAGGATGCTAAAAGGCCCAAGGAAAAAGCAGAATCATTCCATTTAGAGCTGCAAGGAACCAATGTCCCCTCTCTGCGTGAATGAAAAATGGCTCTTAAAGGGGCAGTGACTTCAAACCACAACATGTTCACACAGTGCAGTCACGTCCGGGCTCCTAGGCTGGGTCTGTTCTTTCTGTGCCACGTGACCTTTACCTTACCACGGAGACACGTTTTGCAAACTGAGGAGTGGGAGACAGCGTTTTAAAAGGTCAGAAAAAATCAGCAGCTCTTCAAGGGATCTTTGATCCAAAGGGAAAGTCCCAACTGCATACACACACCCACACACACACACATATATATATACCTTGTTACTTTTAAAATGTTTTAAATTTCAAAAATAATACTCATTATAGAAAATTTACAAAATGTAAAACATTCAAAGAGAATAATCATTCATAATCTCTCCATTCAATAACATGCTTTTAACATTTGGTATATTTCTTTACAGCTTTTAAAAATGCATATACACATATGTCACTTAAAAATTAGAATAATATTTATCTTTTTCACCTAACTATTCAGCATTTTTGTGTCATAAATTTTCCTAAAGCATTTTTAATAGTTATACAATCCCAATGTGTGTGTATTTGCTTATAATCTATGTGATCCTCCCACACCTTTTAAATCATATCCAGATGATTTATACTAAATACAGTGTATTATCAAGATAGTTGTTTAGATGACAAGAAAAAAGTGTGCACATGTTCAGTTCAGCTGCATTTTTTTTTTTTTTTTGGACTGGCAGAGTGGACAGTGAGAGAGAGAAAGAGAGAGAAAGGTCTTCCTTTGCCGTTGGTTCACCCTCCAATGGCCACCGCAGCCGGTGCGCTGCGGCCGGTGCACCGCGCTGATCCAAAGGCAGGAGCCAGGTGCCTCTCCTGGTCTCCCATGGGGTGCAGGGACCAAGGACTTGAACCATCCTCCACTGCACTCCCGGGCCATAGCAGAGAGCTGGGCTGGAAGAGGGGCAACTGGGACAGAATCCGGCGCCCCGACCGGGACTAGAACCCGGTGTGCCGGCGCCGCAAGGTGGAGGATTAGCCTATTGAGTTGTGGCGCCGGCCTGCATTTTTTTTAATATATCATCGCTCCACTCCCCTTGCTCCAGACTGATGGAATCACTTGTTGGTTGGCTCTGGATGTGGAACCCAGGGATACAGAGGGCTATTTCTACATCACCTTTTGTAAAACATCTACTCATTATATAGTCCTACTTCCATTCTTCTTTTGAGGTACTCATCTTTTCCATTTTGTAATTCTAAAACACCTAAGATGTTGACCTTTTTTTCTGCTGTAAATAGTGTACTCTTCCAACTTTGCCATTTGTCTTTTAATTTTATCTTTTCAATTTGCCGCTGTTTTTAATTCTAGAAATGCAGCATTTCTATCGAGTTAAAACCTTTATTTTGGCAGAGATCAGCAGCAGTCCGGCACTGACATGGAGCCATATAAGGGAAGATCTACTGGAGCTGCCGAACGACCTTTTAGTCTCTAAAAGGCAGCCAGTGTAAGTCCCCTAAATCCGCACAGCCTGAAGCGGTCCCATGGAAGGAATATGCCCTGGGTGTGCTGCTCCCTGCTGCAGATCCTCAAGCAAATCGCCCAGTCTCTCTAGACACCATCTCCTTCACCCACAGAATGAAAGGTCTGGACGCTGCAATCTCAAAATGCACCCAGTTCTAAGGCTCACTCTCATGTGACATTTGCAGGAAGGGAACTCAGGACTACATGTTCAGGCTAGTCAGAGTACACGACCCCAGAGAGACCTGTCAATGAGAGGAGTGAAGACAGCGAGAGAGGTATGAGAGGTAAAAGTCTCTGATGGGAAACTGCAGTCCATTGACATGAAGGTACAGCGTTTGTTTCAAGAAAGCACAGATAGCAGGTTAAGCCACTGCCTGAGATGCCAGCATTCCATATGGGCACAGGTTCAAGTCCTGGCTGCTCCACTTCTGATTCAGGTCCCTGCTAATGCAACTGGGAAAGCAGAGGAAGATGGCTACATGGGAAACCATGATGAAGCTTCTGACTCCTGACTTCGGCCCGGCCCAGCCCTGGTTGTTGCAGCCATTTGGGGAGTAAACCAGTGGACAGAAGATCTCTTTCTCCTCCCCTGCCCCATCTCTCATCTCCCCCTCCTTCCCTCCTTGTGTCTCTCTTCCTCTCTCTATAACTCTGCCTTTCAAATAAATAAATATTTTTTTAATTTATTTATTTGAAAGACAGAGTTACAGAGAGAATCGAGACAGAGAGAGAGGTCTTCCATCCACTGGTTCACTCCCCAGATGGCTGCAACGGCCAGAGCTGTGCCGATCTGAATCCAGGAGCCAGGTGCTTCCTCCTGGTCTCCCATGCGGGTGCAGGGGTCCAAAGTCTTGGACCATCTTCTACTGCTTTCCCAGGCCATAGCAGAGAGCTGGATTGGAAGAGGAGCAGCCAGTACTAGAACTGGCACCCATATGGGATGCCAGCGCCTCAGGCCAGGGCTTTAACCCACTGCGCCACAGCGGTGGCCCCAAATAAATAAATCTTAAAAAAAAAAAAAAAACAGGCCGGCGCCGCGGCTCACTAGGCTAATCCTCCGCCTAGCGGCGCCGGCACACCGGGTTCTAGTCCCGGTCGGGGCGCCGGATTCTGTCCCGGTTGCCCCCCTTCCAGGCCAGCCCTCTGCTGTGGCCCGGGAGTGCAGTGGAGGATGGCCCAGGTGCTTGGGCCCTGCACCCCATGGGAGACCAGGAAAAGCACCTGGCTCCTGGCTCCTGCCATCGGATCAGCGCGGTGCGCCGGCCGCGGCGGCCATTGGAGGGTGAACCAATGGCAAAAGGAAGACCTTTCTCTCTGTCTCTCTCTCTCACTGTCCACTCTGCCTGTCAAAAAATAAAAAATAAAAAAAATAAAAAAAAATAAAAAAAAACAACAGCTGGCGTCATGGCTCACTAGGCTAATCCTCCACCTGCAGCGCCGGCACACCAGGTTCAGGGGCGTCGGATTCTGTCCCGGTTGCTCCTCTTCCAGTCCAGCTCTCTGCTGTGGCCCAGGAGTGCAGTGGAGGATGGCCCAGGTCCTTGGGCCCTGCACCCTCATGGGAGACCAGGAGAAGCACCTGGCTCCTGGCTTTGGATCAGCGCAGTGTGCCAGCTGCAGCGCGCAGCCAGAGTGGCCATTGGAGGGTGAACCAATGGCAAAGGAAGACCTTTCTCTCTGTCTCTCTCTCTCTAACTCTGCCTGTCAAAAAAAAAAAAAAAAAAAAAAAAAGGCATGATGAGGAAAGGGGACAGGATGAGTGAGGTCAAGGGTCAAGGGTAGCAGACAAGCACCAATGTTGTGGTACAGCAGGCTAAGCTACTGCGTACAACACCAGCATCCCATAACAAAGCACCTGTTCGAGTCCTGGCTGCTTCACTTCTGACCCAGCTCCCTGTTAATGCGCCTGGGAAGGCAGCGAACGATGGCCCAAATACTTGGCCCTCTGCCACCCACATAGGAGATCTGGATGGAGTTTCTGGTTCCTGGTTTTGATGTGGCCCAGCCCCAGCTATTGAGGCCATTTGGGGAAGTGAACTAGCAGATGGAAGATCTTTCTCCTTGTCTCTCCTTTTCTATGTGTCACTCTGCCTTTGAAGCAAACAAATAAATTAAAAGGGGGGCCAGTAGAGAAAGTCCTCAACACTAGTGTGCATTCTTCCCAGAGAAAGCACCAGGTAATAGAGTGGTTTCCTCTGAGCCAGTTGAAAGATGGTAAATGTTGGATATAGGAATAAAAGAATGAAAAAAAAAATCAAAAAAGAATCCAAGTATAAAAAAATGGTACAGGCTTTGAGGTGAAAGAGAAAAGCTGATTATGAAGTCATCATGTTGAGAGATAACCCTTTAAAGACAGGATAAATTAGATCAAAGACACAAAAAAGGACAAAGGCAACGGAACTCAAGCCCAGACAAATGGTCCCCAGGCCGGCACTGTGGCATAGCAGATAAAGCTGCCACCTGTAGTGCCAGCATCCCATATGGGTGCCAGTTCAAGTCCCGGCTGCTCTTCTTCCGACACCACTCTCTGCTATGGCCTGGGAAAGCAGTAGAAGATTGCCCAAGTCCTTGGGCCCCTGCACCAACACAGGAAACCTGGAGGAAGCTCCTGGCTTTGGATTGGTGCAGTTCCAGCCATTGCAGCCAATTGGGGAGCGAACCAGCAGATAGAAGACCTTTCTCTCTCTCTCTCTCTCTCTCTCTCTCTCTCTCTCTCTCTCTCTCTCTCTCTCCCCCCCCCCCCTTCTCTCTGTGTAACTCTGACTTTCAAAGAAATAAATATAGAAGAGGGAGGAGGGGGAGGGGGAGGAGGAGGGGAAGGAAGAAGAAGGAGAAGGAGAAGGAGAAGGAGAAGAAGAAGAAGAAGAAGAAACGGTCCCAAGAACAGGTTGGCAGAATTGGAGCAGAGAATAAAGTGATGTCCTCTGTCCCTGAGAATTAACTGCAACACAATGTTATAAAACAATAACACATGCTCAGAAGTCCTGAGGAGCTGGAAAGAAAGGCAAAGTGTTAGCTACCTAACAGCAGCATCGTGCTGAAGGAGCCACTGCAAATTCCTGAATCTTACACAGGATCATCAGAAATCACATTAATGAGCCAAAGTCCTTACCTTATCACTGCTAACTAGCTAGCTATTTATTTACGCGTATTTAAAAATTATTTTTTTCTTGCATAATATTAAGTAATAACACCTGTTCATTTCCTTTCACTTTATTGCTACTTTAGTAGCTATTTATCTTTTCCATCTTAGCACTGATTAAAACATAAAATGTCTTTAGGAAATGTTATGTCCTAATTTATAGTTTAATTTAATCTTAGCAGTCAAACACTGATAACATTGCATCTCTTAGAGAAATCAGCTTATTCATTATCACTCACCAACAAATATATATAAGAAAGAAAAAAGACCTCATCCTCATGCAAAGCAAGGAGGCGGTAAAGAAAGAAAAGCAAATCCTGAGCACTCCCTGGCCCAATGGGGTGTATCAGGAACAAATACCTCCCCATGTCTCTCTCTCTTTTTTTTTTTTTCTAAGATTTTTATTTATTTATTTGAAAGGCAAAGTTGCAGAGAGGCAGAGACAGAGAGAGAGAGAGAGAAGTCTTCACTCCCCAAATGGCCGCAATGGCCAGAGCTGGGCTGATCCTAAGCCACAAGCCAGGAGCTTCTGCCAGGTCTCCCACACAGGTGCAAGGACCCAAGCACTTGGGCCACCCTCTACTGCTTTCCCAGGCCATAGCAGAGAGCTGGATTGGAAGTGGAGCAGCTGGGTCTCAAACCAGTGCCCATATGGGATGCCGGCACTGCAGGTTGCAGCTTACTCACTAAGCCACAGTGTCAGCCCCTCCCCGTGCTTCCCTTAAGGAGGCTGCCTCATCCATCTGTTTACTTCCAAAACTTCCTTTTTTAAGTGTTTACTGTCTTTCATGCAAAGACAAAGAAAAGAGCTACTGTCCCCTTCCAAAAAAACACAGAAGGTAAAAAAAAAATCATACTACAAACAGCTTTTAACCCCAGGCCTGAAGCTCTCAATAAATTAAAATTCCTTCATTACTCGCTCTGTCTAGGATACAACTGGAAAAAGACTAGCCACATCCCATTCTAAAGATGAGAAGAGTTGCTCACAGAAACAGCTGAGGTCTACAACACACAAGGAAACAAAGGCCAGCCTTTCCACTAGAGGCTTTTGTGAACTCGGATGGTGCAGGAAAGAGTACTGGTGACGAGTGGGAACCTGGAGCACAGCCCCAGCCTCACTCCAGACCTCCTCTGTGATCTTGGGAAAGTAATGGCTACCTTTCCACACCTCCCCTGCTTCTCCCACAATAAAGGAAGGACATCCTATGCACATCGACTACCTAATACAGAGTGTCTAAGGAGCAAACGGAAGGAAGAGCTCTTTATAAAGCATTGGGCATTCCTGTTATCGATAGGTTTTTTGAAAAGAACAGACACTAAACTAATGATTTTTAAACTTTCACCACCAATTTCATAAACTTCATGATGAAAAGCACTAAATGATATATATTAAAGAGTATTTTTTAATTTCAATCATTTGAAATATTTGAGAGAACCACTGTGTGTTTCAGAGGGGTGTGTGTATGTGTGTGTGTGTCTTAAATTTTAAGTAAAATTATAATATGGCATAGATATTACACAAATTATTTCAAAAATTGTGTATAAACAAATAAACCAAAGTCAACATGCTAAATAATAATACAATTACATTCTGCTCATGAAATCAAATTCAAACTTTCAATTTAACATTCTATTCATAAAATAATGCCACTTCACATAAAAATGCCCTGGCCTGAAGTGCCGGCATCCCATATGGGTGCCGGTTCTAGTCCCGGCTGCTCCATCTCCGATCCAGATCTGCTATGGCCTGGGAAAGCAATAGAAGATGACTCAAGTCCTTGGGTCCCTGCACCCATGTGGGAGATCTGGAAGAAGCTCCTGGCTCCTGGCTTCGGATCAGTGCAGCTCCAGCCGTTGCGACCAATTGGGGAGTGAACCAGCAGATGGAAGATCGATCTCTCTCTCTCTCTCTCTCTCTGCCTCTCCTTCTCTCTGTGTAACTCTGACTTTCAAATAAATAAATAAATCTCTAAAACATGATATAAAATACTATGAGGAGTTGACAAATTCTGTTTATAAGTGTTTTTCACCCCAGACAGCAATTCTAATCTAGACTTTAATCTAAAGCTAATGAGATATTTTTGCATTTTTAACCCTTAAAAAGCCATCCAGATTATGAACAAACTTCACAGAGTTTGGAATAATAAGAAAGCATGCTGTGATCTAACAATTACTTTGAATAAAGGATATTTATCAATAATTACAATGAGTAAAAATGTTCTTTCTCTGGCACCCCAGAGGAACAGTGTTTAACGAGAAAGAATTATTTATGCCTACAAACTGAGAACTGTAATGGGCAGTTTTAATATAACACATCACAGCAGTACAAGCAAGCTGCCAGAAACCTGTTACCTGGTTTTGACTTATATTCATCTGATTTCCAAGACCAGACTAAAGCTTTGAAAACAGCAGGGGCTTCCTGTTTTGTTTCTGCTCATTACTGAGAGTCAGTGCAGCACAAGCTATGCAGACAAGGTCTTCAGGCGGGAATACCGAGGTTCCATCTTTCCGGGCTGAAAATGAGTTCTCGCTCATCTCGTATGTGCTAGGACTAGTGATGTCAACATGCACTCCCACCCTTTCTCTTTTCTAAGTGGCTTCAACATTGCTACATTCACTTTGAAAGAACCCAACGCTGTTAGGAAGTTCCTATCACTGCAAGGACAAGTTTTAGGAGAAAAAGAATCCATGGTTAATCAGTTTTGCTACCAAGAGTAGCTGTCAGTCTCCTGGAATCAAATTAAGCACAAAAGCAGCAGGGAGGAGTGGAATGTGTGAGGGCCAAGAGCAGGCTGAGGGGAGGTACGGGGGAGCCACAACCAGCCTGGGCCAGAGGGGACCTCTCTTCAGTCTGATGAGGCGACAGCACAATGTAATTGGTTTCGGTGTTTTTAATTTTAATTAGTCACATCAATTAATGCTAAAAACAATGCTAACAGTATATTATTTTCATCTAGTTAAATAAAGGATTACACACATTTGAGTAAATTACACAGCATTAAACATTTAAATAACTTGAAATGAAGCCATTACTGTCATTCAAACAAGTTTCCACAGCTAAAGGCTGAATGTTAAGTATGAACTGATTTGGCATTACAAGAATATAAATCCTTTATCTTTTTAGTGAGAAGGAAAAATGAAGAGATTTGAGGACTTCGGCCTTGAATAAGTGGTTTGCAGTAGCACAGCGCCCTTCAGTGGTCAATGATTCAAAATACAACTTCCAAAGGCCAAAGACCAGTAGCAATCTTCATACTGAATGGTGGCAATTGATAACATTATCTTCTTTTTCTTTTCATTCTTTCCTATTACAATTATCTCAGCACATATTTTTCAGCATTAGACTAACTTTCCACTGCCAAATTTCTCTTACCATATATATTTTTTTTAATTAAAATCTTATTTGTTCTAAGAAATGTTCTAGAGAGTAAAAAAGAAATCAGCAAAGCCAAACAAAGCAAAACCTTAAGTGGTAACGGGTAGGGTGTCAGTGCTAGAATGGGAACAACTAAGTATAAAAGTGTTAAAATCTGAAGTCTAGAGAGATTATAAAAATTATGGAAATTTATTTTGTCTATTAATTTAATACAAGTAAAGACAGCAAATTCAAAATTACATAATTTTTACTCATTTCTTCAATATAGAAATATTTCTGTTTTAAATTCTAGTATAAAAGATTCAGTATATATGCATTTGTTTTCATGACTGAACTCCTATTAAAATAGATACCAAATTTATTAGAATTCCAATATTTTTCTGAGGAGGTAAAAAAAGACAACCCCCTTTGGTTACCTTTACAGGTTACCAAAAAAGCTCCTTTAGGCCAATCTATAATATCTCTATTCTTCAGATTACATTGATTTTCACATGAAAAGGGATCACAATTCGATATAGAAGAACTGAAATAGAATAAACCGGTGGTAATATTCTTGTGTTTTTTCTCAATAAAAACTGCAAGGTATGAAAGCATTGCCACATTCGGATCTGGCTGAAGAGCCCACGAGAGTATTTCAGGCATGGAAAGCCAAGACACTCTGGCAAAAACAACAACAAAAACAACAACAACAATAACACCTAAATGAAAGATCTCTGTGAGTGAGATCCCAGTGGAAAGAATGGGGCCATCAAAGAAGGAGGTACCTTTCTCTGAAGGGAGGAGAGAACTTCCACTTTGACTAAGACCCTGTCGGAATAAGATCTAAGTCAGCAAACTCAAAAGGCTTCCATAGCCTTGGCAACTCATGACTAGAGCCTAGGGAGATTACTGACGCCATAAACAAGAGTGTCAAATTGTTAAGTCAACAACAGGAGTCACTGTGTACTTACTTCTCATGTGGGATCTGTCCTTAATGTGTTGTCCAATGTGAAGTAATGCTATAACTAGTACTGAAACAGTATTTTACACTCTGTGTTTCTGTGTGGGTGCAAACTGATGAAATCTTTACTTAATATATACTGAATCGATCTTCCATATATAAAGATAATTGAAAATGAATCTTGATGTGAATGGAATGGGAGAGGGAGCAGGAGATGAGAGGGGTGCAAGTGGGAGGGAAGTTATGGGGGGGGGGAGCCATTGTAATCCATAAACTGTACTTTGGAAATTTATATCCACTAAATAAAAGTTAAAAAAAAAAAAAAAGCATTGCCACAATCCCACACCAAATACTTACTAGGTAGAAGGAGGTAATTTGTTTTCAACAGAATAGTAATGATTATCTAATTAATTTTTTTCTCTTCTTCTGCCTACCCAAAGCACAGAGTCTGAAATGCATTCACCAGATGACGTAAAGCGCAGGGACTCTGGGTTTGAGTGCTGACTCTGCCACTACGGACCAAGACAGGTCAGTATCGCTGTGCTTGGTGTCTTCATCCACAACGTTGAGGTGCTGGTTCCGTCTCCTGGGGGTGCTGTGAGGGTTCAGTGTATTTATGCAAGCCAGAGTCTCGGCCCCAGTAACATAAAAGATTCTCAGATAATGCTAGTTTTCTTCCTATCCATCCTTACCATTGACAGTATGAAGAAGACCTATTCTCTCCACGAGGAGGACTGGAAACACAGATATGGAAGCATGTGGATGAATCAATAAAACCCACTTAGAATTTCATCTATGAAAATCCTACACTTCTTTGCTAGCATACATTAGAAGATCCAAAGATGATTCTAAAAGCAAAAATACTGAATTCTGGGAAGGGGAGGTAAGGGAACAGAATCAGCATTTGTTATGTGCGCCACGTGCTACTCATTGCGCTCTGCCTTTCTATACATCGTCTTACTACAGAAGGCATCATAGGCCTCTCCAGGGCAGAAGCTGTTACTATGATGGGACTCTGTGAGGCTGGCTTATTGTTGTCCAAGTAGGGCTGGAGGGCAGAGCCCAAGTGACGCTGCAGGTAGATGCAGAGGTGGCTAAGACAGTGAAGAGGAAGAGCAATAACAGCCCCGTGGGGATGGTGGCAGAGAGATGAGGATGTGCTCATGAATAAGAATGTCTTACTTATCCCATCTTAATTACTTTCATCTGTTTCTTTCATCATATTTAAGTATTTAAAGCAGCAAGGTGGTAGGAGATAGTACAGGAGTCATATTAAAATCTTTTAGGAGAAAGACTGGTGCACAGAGTCTGAAAAAGCAATTTCTGAATTATAATAAAATATATTGCATTTACAAAGCAGACTCTCTGCCCTGTGTGAGCATGAAAACAAAGCAACTGAACAGACCTCATGTGAAAGTGACCTACACTGAGCTTTGTCACCAGCAAAAATGGGAAAACCCTTGTGGAAAGCAAGTCAGCCCCACTTTTACACTGATCTTATGTGACCAAGAGGGAAAAAAGGCAGCTTTCGAAGACTCACTGCCTTAATTCTTCTGTTGCAATTCTTACTTTTTAATTGGTTTCTGAAATAATATTAAAGGAGATGTAAGATTTCTAAACTTATCAAAAGGGGCATGGGTTTTAAAATGTTGAGAAACACATTTTTAAAAAAGATGCAAATCAGCTCAAGGAAAATGAGAAGGCAAAGAGAGAAAGGGCTCTTGGGACAGCTTTTAAAATTTAGGATTTAGGCTAATGGTCATGCCAATTAACATAAAAATGGGTAAGACTGCTCACTTAGGCCTGCTTGCTAAGTACTCTGCTGCCTTAATAGTGGCAACAGCCACTGGCCTTCCTTGCTGCATCAGTGTCTGGAACAATGCCCTCAAAGCTTAAGAGACCTAGTGGCAGTCCCAAGGAGGCAGGGCCTAGCCACATGCACACACAGGCACCCCGCCCAAATCACACACATACACACACACACAGATACACAGGCACCCTGCCCAAATCACACACATACACACAATCACCATACACACACTGTCACCATACACACACACGCACACACGCACCCTGCCCAAATCCAACCCTGAGGGCAGACTTTCAATCAGGCAGCAAAGGTGCCAGCACATTCCTCTCAACACAGGATATGCCTTTTTCTCAAAAGGTAACTGCCACAAAACAGAACTAGGACCACCTAGCAAGCAAATGACAGATGGGTCTAGATACATAAGGTAAAGGACAGGACTGGTTTTGGTGACTGTGAATATTCATAGGATCTATAAAAGTCCAATTCTTTTAGGATACAGTCTGTTAGAAATGAATATGCAACTGTACCAAATAAAAACACTGCAGTTCTCAGAATGCACACAGGGAGGGAATTTTCCCCGCCTCCAATTGCTATCGCATACAATTGCTGGGTAAAGTAGTATCTGAACTTCATATTGATTTGTGATTTATATCCTCTAATGGTGTCCCAAGAATATGCTTTTTAATTTTCAAATGGTACTCCCTCTTTTATCATTTTATGCATCACAAAAAGTACTACACTAAGATGTTTCCCAAGTTTAGTGTCAGATGGCTAGTCCTTCAAAATGCTCAGGATTCTTGGAATGTTCACTCTGCCTCTGCCTCTCTGTAACTCTGCCTTTCAAATAAATAAATAAATCTTTAAAAAAAAAAAAAAGAAAGAAAAGGAAGAAGAGAATAAAACTGAAAAGTATTCAACATGAAAGAACTACTGTTGGGGCTGGCATTGTGGCATAGTGGGTAAAGCTGCCACCTGCATACACAGGCATCCCATTTGGGTGCTGATTCAAGTCCCAGCTGCTCCACTTCCAGCTCCCTGCTAATGTGCCTGGGAATGCAGCTTAAGACGGCCCAAGTGGAAGACCTGGAAGAAGCTCCTGGTTTCCACCTCGTCCAGCCCAGACTACTGCAGCCATTTGAGTGAACGAGCAGATAAAAGAGATCTCTCTCTCTATTTCTATCTCTGTAACTGTGCCTTTCAAACCAATCAAAATAAGCCTTCAAAGAAAAAGAGCTACTGTCAATATAAGATGACTACTCCTTACAACTAAGCTTATTAACAATGAAAATCACAGTTTTGTTACTACAAAATTCTATCCAACTACTGAGCAACTAGTGCAAGCAAAGGCTCCAGGATCTGACTCTCCTCTCAAGTCCCAGGTAGGACTAAAGAAGGTACTGATTCAAGTCTTTTTTTTTTTTTCTTTTGACAGGCAGAGTGGACAGTGAGAGAGAGAGAGAGAGAAAGGTCTTCCTTTTTTTCTGTTGGTTCACCCCACAATGGCCGCTGCGGCCGGCGCACCTCGCTGATCTGAAGCCAGGAGCCAGGTGCTTCCTCCTGGTCTCCCATGCGGGTGCAGGGCCCAAGCACTTGGGCCATCCTCCACTGCACTCCCGGGCCACAGCAGAAAGCTGGACTGGAAGAGGAGCAACTGGGACAGAATCTGGCACCCTGACTGGGACTAGAACCTGGGGTGCTGGGGCCGCAGGCAGAGGATTAGCCTAGTGAGCCACAGCACCAGCTGATTCAAGTCTTTTTTTTTTTTTTTTTTTTTAACAGGCAGAGTGGACAGTGAGAGAGAGAGAGAGAGAGAAAGGTCTTCCTTTGCCGTTGGTTCACCCTCCAATGGCCGCCACGGCCAGCGCGCTGCGACCGGCACACTGCGCTGATCCGATGGCAGGAGCCAGGTACTTCTCCTGGTCTCCCAAAGGGTATAGGGCCCAAGTACTTGGGCCATCCTCCACTGCACTCCCTGGCCACAGCAGAGAGCTGGCCTGGAAGAGGGGCAACCGGGACAGAATCCGGTGCCCCGACCGGGACTAGAACCCGTTGTGCCGGCGCCGCAAGGTGGAGGATTAGCCTAGTGAGCCGCAGCGCCGGCAATGATTCAAGTCTTAATTAATCAAGTCTGGCGAGTCAAACTGCAAGCAAGCTAGCAACAATAGGTTTATAGAAAGAGGTACTCAATAAGAATTACGTGTGTTAGGTGTGCAAACAAATGGAGTTAAGGCTAAGGTGCCTCTTTGTCTCAACGCTGCTTTGAGTCTTGTTGACTTTTTTTTCTTAAATATTTATTAATTTATTTGAGAGGCAGAGTTACAGACAGAGAGAGAAAGAGACAGAGAGAGAGAGGTCTTCCATCTGCTGGTTCACTCTCCAGATGGGCACAACAGCCAGGAGCCTGGAGCTTCTTCCATGTCTCCCACAAGAGTACAGGGACCTAAGCACTTGAACCATCTTCCAATGCTTTCCAAGCCTATAAGTAGAGAGCTGGATCAGAAGAGGAGCAGTGGGGACACTGTGTGGCACCCATATGGCATGTCGGCACCACAGGCAGAGGCTTAGCCCACTATACCACAGTGCCAGCCCCCAGAGTCTTGTTGGCTTTGTGGAAACAGTACCTAGAAAGTTACTTTAACATTAATAAAAATCTCTATCAGGACCAACACTTGAGTGACTCTCAACAAACCATAGGAGACAGAAATCTGATAATTTCTAACAGTGGTCGACTATATGAGTTAGGCTGCCAGATTCAATCTATCCCAGTTTTCACACAAGGATGATTTTCCAGGACTCATGAGGTATCAAGGATGAGTCACAACACCAGAGCTCGTCATCCACATCCCATATTCATGGACAAGAGAATGCTATGAATACTTGTAAACAGCAGACTGTACTAAATAGTTAGATGTAACAAGCTAGATTTCCTTCATTATTTAGAGGCACATATTTATTTCTGCATTTGTATCATTCTATCTTGTTATCTAGCACTAAAAAATGTGGAGCATGAAGTAACCCAGAAAGGGTTGGAAGGTGTATACTGGCATTTAAACATGTTGGAAAGACCACTCGCCACACACTGCCTGACCAAGTCACATGGCCAAATCCCCATAGCAGTAACGGCCAAGGGACATGGGAACTATTTGCCGAGCAGTACCGCTTCCATATACTTTCCCATTTTAAAATTATTGGATTCTAAAAATCAAAAAGTCCCATAACATTCCTCTTGTAAGCTTTACTTCCCATAATAAATATTCATGAGAACCCTCTACTTTGGAAATTTCCCCCCATTATTGGTACTGGGCTAGTTCTTGGTTCCACTTGATTTTCTCACAAAATTACAGACAGAACAATCAGGACCCCAAGGATTTAATTCCACAGAACAAAAACCTGTACAATCAAGGCAAATCCCCACATATTTTTATCCGTATCAATTAAATATAATTTAAAAAACACTAGTGAGTGATCTAGCATATTTGGAGTCTACACAATGCCTGTCAGCAACTGCTGGAGGCTCATCTTTTATATCTGGCCTTTTGCCACGCCTGTTTTCTGTCAGCTTGCTTATTTTCTCTTTCATTGTGCTAAGTGAATACTACCTTGAGAAGGGGTTAAGCAATTCACAAAAAGCAGAGAAAAATATTAACAGATTAAGCACTTTTGCATCATCCTCATCTGGAGCTGGTGCTAAGGGCTGCACACTGCACGCTGCAGGCTGAGGCAGCGCCGCGCCCAGGGACCGCCTGCTCGGCGTGCAGAACACAAATCACTTGCACGACGATCTTGGGCATCTATCTTTATTTTTAAAATCTCCTCCCCGTTGCCAGTGACACTACAGTGTTATTATTATTAATCTAGCTACTCCTAATAACAGTATTTAAGTAACCTGTAGTCTTGGGAACTTTGCAGACAATAGCTAATTAATTGTCAAGCATTCAATGTAACAGGATTCTAATCTCTCAACCTTTGAAGCAGGATAAATTTATTTGTTATAATGGTAAAACTTTTGTTTGAATGCCTTATCTATGCAATATGTATTCTCTATCACCTCAATTCTAATTTTTATATCTGCTTTGTAAGTAAAATAATCACATGCAGAAAGACGCAGACAGTATGCTTCACAAACAGTAATGAATCTCTTGCGACTCCTTTTATTCACACTACAATAGGTTCTATATTACCATGCAGAGAAAAACAAAACACCATAGATTATTTCCCTTGTTTGCAAGACACGCTCACAGTATTCTGAGAGAAACAAGAACCTGAAGGTGCAGCATGCTATGTCTTAGAGAGAAAGTAAATACGATATTCTGTTGACATCTTGTTCCTGCTTTCAAACAACCAGGTATGTTACGTATGAACTGTCAGGGCAGGAAAATAAGTTTTCCTGTCCAAATGTGCCCACGTTCTTTTCAGAGACCTCACCTTACACAGAGCTCCAAATCTTAGCTGAATACCATAGTAACAATTTCTTATAGCAGTCATTTGAGATCAATATTTAAGAAGCATAAACAGAGCCACTTTTCTCTAATAACCTTCCCCTCCACACACCACACATACTTTCCATGTGACAATGTAAATGGCCTGAGTCTGAGAGAAAACAGAAAGGTGTCAAAGAAAGAGAGATAGAAGCCCTTTCTCGAGCCCTAATGAGGTCTCCAGAGCCAAAAGCAAACCAATAACAAATTGTACTTTCCACATATTGGGGAGAGGGAAAGGCTGGGGTGGGGGATGGGGGAGGAAGGGCTGGAGCTTGTCATCTGAAATTAATTGAACTTAGCCATGCCAAGAAAACACTGGTAATAAACCCTCCCCATCTAAATTAAGGGTTTTATACCATGAAAAAAAAAATAAAAATTTATGGCAGTAATTTCATCTGGGTTTTTCAAGAAGTGCTTGCTGATTTTCTTGTACTCAGTAGAAAAATCCCCAAGGAGCAATGCAGACTGCAATAAGGCAGACTTCTAAAAAGATACCATTTAATTTCTCACTCCTCCCCTTGCACTATTAACACACTTCCACTTTTCTCTAACTCTGTTAACTCTCTCAACACAACGCTCTTCCCTCACTCTCGACAACATCCCACAGGGCAGGCAAGAGCGCTCCACCTGCGAGTGCCCAGCCACAGAACCAGGAGCCCAAGAAGTACCCGCATTCATCTTCAGCTTGTCTGCATGATACCTGGCCACTCTGATTAAAGGCATCAATAGTCTCGACGACTTAAAAACAATCCCCAAACAAATCCATCACTCAGCACTGTCCATGCTGGTATCAAGAACTCATGAATCACTTCGGTTCTCATATGTGGCTGCTGAGTGGTGGGGCAGTTACCCAGAGCAGTCAGCTATTTCCAATGTGCTATTCTGGTTTGAACAGGATTTGGTTCCCTAACTCATGCAAGGCTTCAAACCCAAAGTTCCAAGTTAACAGCACCAAGAGGGTAGAAACTAAATCCAACTGTGGTGTTCAGGAATTCAGCCTACTGGGAGGTACTTAGGTCACTTGGGGTTGTGGCCCCGGAAGGTACTTGTCAAAAGAGGATTGTTATAAAAGCCAAGTTGGGCCCACTCTTCTCTGCTTCCTAATGACTGTGACCCTTCCCCTGCATGCTCTCTTCATCATCTTCCACACTCATCAACACAAAACCAAAGCATCTGCCCAATCTTGGACTGGAATCTCCAAAACCATGATACACATAAATGTTGTCACTTGATAAAATCAGTTGCCTCAAGTATTTTGTTGTAATAACAAAAAAGCTGACACACAATGGTTTTGCAAATTCCTATGGGCAGCAAGCACTGCCTGCAGACCAAGTGTATAATATACAGAACACAGACACAGTACTCGTTTTCTAATATCCACAGACACTGTTGTGGTGAACAAAACAGAAATTAAAAATCAAAACTAAATTCACAGCTTTTTGTTTTATTCCCAATTAATAACTGTTTAAAGTAAAAGCCAATTTATAAACCTTTTTATATCAAAATGAGTTCATATTGAAGAAAACTGGGAATAACTGCTATGAATGTTAATATTTTCAGTGCTTTGCATTTAGACACATGGTAGGCACTCAATATATGTGGTGATTTTTTTTAAATGTCTATTTATTTTCATTTATTTGAAAGGCAGAGGGGCCGGCTCTGCGGTACAGTGGGTAAAGCCGCCACCTGCAGCGCCAGCATTCCATATGGGTGCCAGTTCGAGTCCCAGCTGCTCCACTTCCAATTCAGCTCTCTGCTCTGGCCTGGAAAAGCCGTGGAAGACGGCTCAAGTCCTTGGTCCCCTACATCCACATGGGAGACCCAGAAGAAGCTGCTGGCTCCTGGCTCCAAATTGGTGCAGCTCCAGCCTTGTGACCATCTAGGGAGTGAACCAGCAGATGGAAAACCTCTTTTTCTCTCTCTCTGCCTCAGTCTCTGTAACTCTGCCTTTCAAATAAAATAAATTTTTTAAAAAAGAAATAAAGGAAGAAAGAAAGAGAGAGAGAGATCTTCTACCCACTGGTTCACTCCCTAAGTGCCTGCAACAATCAGGGTTGGCTCAGGCTAAAGCCAGGAGCCCAGTACTCCAACTGGGTCTCCCACATGGGTAGCAGGGGCCTAAGCACTTGAACCATCATTTGCTGTCTCCAAGAATGCATTAGCAGGAACCTGGATTGGAAACAGAGCAGATAGGACTTAAACTGGCACTCGGAGATGAGATGTGGACATCTCAAGCGTTGGCTTAACCCACTGTGCCACAATGCCTTGCTCTGGTATTCAATATTTGTAACTGCAGGTATGAGCATGGGCTTTTTTTTCTCTTTTTTTTAAATAAGATTTTTATTTATTTATTTGAAAGGCAGGGTTACAGAGAGAGGAGGGGAGAGAGAGGGAAAGAGAGGGAGAGAGGAGGAGAGAGAGAAGGAGAGGGAGAGAGATGGAGGGAGGGAAAGAGGGAAAGAAGAGAGGGGAAAGGGGAGAGAGGGGGAGAGAGGGGGAGAGAGGGGGAGAGAGGGGAGAGAGGGGGAAAGAGGGGGAGAGAGAAAGAGAGAGGAAGAAAGAGAAAGAGACCGATCCTCCATCCACTGGTTATTCCACAAATGGCTGTAACAGCAGGGGCTGGGCCATGCCAAAGCCTGGAGTTAGAAGCTTCTTCCAGGTCTTCCATGTGGGTACAAGGACCCAAGGACCTGGGCCATCTTCTACTGCTTTCCCAGGTGCCATGAGCAGGGAGCTGGATCAGAAGTGGAGCAGCCTGGACTTGAACTGGCCCCATAAGGGATGCCAGCACTGCAGACTGCAGCTTAACCCACTATATCACAGAGCCAACCCCATAAGCACATTCTTCTTGGCTCCTTGTGCATCTTTTTTTTCTTTCACTGCAGTCCCCACCAGTTTACTTTATCAATTAATCCCTTCCCTTGGGGTACAAGAGAGAAGCAGTTTCCAAGTGTGGTCTGGGGACCCTTAGGGGTCCCTGGACCCTTTTGGGAAATGCATGAAGCCAAAACTTCTTATTTCTGAGAAGTTATTTGCCTCCTATGTATATACAGCTGAGTTTTCCATTGGTTCTAAGACCTGGGATATCACAACAGATTCTATGGGAAACAGATATGAGAATCCAGCTGTCTTCTACTTATTATACCAGATATTAAGAAGATTTACAAGGCCATGTCCTCAAGAAACCTATTTGTGTTTTGAAAAATACATTTTTCATTAAAAATGTTATTTATATTGACATGTAAAGGGTTTGTTATTGTATTCTGAAGTTAATAAATAAATGTTGATGGATATAACATGCACAAACAAAAGCTCTTTCTGGTCCTCAACAATTTTTAAGGGTAGAAAGAAGTTCCTGAGAATAAAGGTTTGAGAGCTAATGTTACAGAAAAAGCAGTCTGCAATGTCCTAGTGTTGATGCTAAACCTAGTTTGTATTCTCAGGAACTCTGCTAAACCCTAGCAGTATACAAGTAGAGGCTGGACACGTACTTAATAGAGATTTTGGAAAGGGGACTCAGACGCTGGATTGGGTGGCTGGCCCAGTTGCTCTCTCTGTTCCCTTCTAACCTGTGATTCCAAAATTCTGGCTCAGAGAGAGTGTGAGGAAGCCTCCTTCCAGAGCTGTGGCTACTGATACGGAATATGAATAATAATGAATAATACCTAATGTACCTTCGTTTTACTACCCACAAAACAATATGAGCATGTTAATGGGCAAATTAATACTTTGCCATGGTTGTATAGTCTTCATGTCAGCACAATACTTCCAAAATTTTGGAAGCAAGGTGACTTTTTAATCTTGCTTGTTGGGTTCTTCTTAGAGGAAAAGTGCTCTCCTTCATGTCCAGTCTTCTTTAGCTTTCAAATAACATTATTTAGTACTGCTTATTCTGAAGGAGAAGAGAGATCAGAGGAATATGGCAATTCACCATATTCTCAAAGAAGGTCTTTAGGGCCAAGTGGCAAGGTCAATATCAAGGCAAACATTCTGCTGACAGAGAATCCCCAAGGCAAATAAATCAAAGTCAAACCTGTAGGGATGAGCAGGATATTTTAATCTTCTGCATAGATCCTACTCTTTTTTTTTTTTCATGATCTATAATTCTGTTTTTAATTCTCTTAAGTCTTGTGATCACATATTTTAGAGGTTTTGTGCTGATGGTATCTCCTCTACCTTAGTCCTTCCACTGAGCTGGCAAAAGCACCATTACTAAACACAAACATACAGTAGCTCCTCAGTGTTATGTGTTTCCAAATGGCTGCTTATAGACAATCCTGAATTTTAACTCAGTCTAAGGTAGTAAAGAATTCAACAGCAAGTGTAACTTGTTACTCCACCTGGTCATGCTGACGTTCAAAGCACCTGACCTTACAGATCATCTATAAAATGTGAGAAGTGTTAAATATTCTTTATTTGATATGCATAAACCACACTAAAATGCCTTTCAGTAAGTAAAAGGCAGAAGTTTAGGTACAGGAAATTCTAATGAGATTGCCACAGCTAAGACCAAAAATACAAAGTAGACATTTCCAAATGTCTTCAGCTCTTGCCTTAGGCAGGTAAAGAACAAGTGAATCTTGTTCAGTTCTGAGACAGTGAGGCAATTTCCCCAGTATTTAAATCTAAATCCAATCTCCCAACAGGTTTTGGGATGGCATTGACAAGTTTTGTTAGTTAAGTCCAATCATATCCTTAGAAGGGGAAAACAGCGAGGGCATTTACTGAACTGGAATTACTACCAAAATTTCCTATTTAACCACACAAGGCAATATTAGACGGTCGGACAAAAATATTCTGTCAGCCACTCATGATCTGAATTCTGGTGTATGAGAATTAAATTATGGTGCACATAAAAAAAGTCATGGGACATTGCTGTTTTGTAATAAATAAGGCAGTGGCCAGTTATTACTCATTCGTAGCTTTTTTGAGATAAGCTATCAAGTCTGCCCTTTCATTCTTCTTCTTAATGCCAGCGAAGATCATTTTGGTTCCAGGGATGTATTTCTTGGGCTTCTCCAAATATTCCATCAGCGTGTCCTCTCCCCAGGTGATGCCTTTGTTCTTGCTGGCATCTGTGTAGGAGAATCCAACGGCCTGACCTGTCTTCCGCCCGAACAGACCATGGAGAGTTGGTCCAGTCTTGTGCTTGCCTCCCTTTTCCACAGTGTGGCACTGGGCACATTTCTGAACAAAAATCTTCTTGCCTTTCTCAACATCACCCATTTTTAACTCGCTCGTTAGTAGCTTGCGCCCCAAAGGACCGCACTGGGAAGCTGGACGTCCCGCTCTCTCTAGATCCTACTCTTGCATAGCATGGAAATAGCAGGGCTTATCCTTAATAAGCATACTGCACACCCACAAAAACCAGTAAGTTGTTTCGAATATACGGCATCAGATCCATGAAGGAAAAGAACTATTAGAAACTCAAATGACCACATTTGTATAATTTGATTCAATTCAATGGACGCTAACTAAGTGTCTGTTATGTTCCAGCCATTAGTCCAGGTGATCAAGAGAGAGGATAAATGAGACATAAGCTCATACTGTCCAAGAATTCACATTCTGAAAGGGAAAACATGTAAATCACTGTAACACAATACAATAAGTGATATAAAAGTAGGTGCTCAGTACTATGGAAACACAGATGAGAGAGTAATTAATTCAGTCTGGTGGGAACGGGGGTGGGAGGGGTGGGTAGGAAATAGACGTTACATATGTAATGAGAAGGAAGGGAAATGAGAAGTTTACACCTAACTCGTAGTCTGGTCCCAGCTGAATCCTCCACAGCTGCTATTGCAAACCTGCTCCATCCCTCTCCCACCTCCCACCCAGTTGCTCTCAGCCTTACTCTGAGCAGCTTTCACTGCCTTCTGCAGAGAAGACGGAGCACTGGCCTCTGGCCGCCTACCCCACCCTTCCCCGCAAGAGAAGACCGAGGCCACCTACCCTACCCTTCCCCGCAGGAGAAGACCACGCTAACCTCTGCTATGACTCTGTAGCCCAATAGCCACTGGGCTCCCCTCTCAGGATCTTGGTTCTCCAAGCTCTCCCTCTCCCTCTCCTGGTTTCTTATCACCAGCATTTAAATATATTTCTGCAGCAGCTCTCTCAAGAAGTGGCTGTTTTTTTTTCTTTTTTTTCCCCCTGAATGTCCTATGGATCCCAGCGTTAGGAGGTAGGGAGGCAACTATTCTTGTTCCCTGTTATTCTCAAACCATTTCTTCCTCTTTTGGTTGCGATTTCCCCTGCCCTTTCAAAGTTCAAGCCCCACCTGCCATTGCAATCATTATTTCCCAACTTCATAATTACTCTACAAAACTGAAAGTTGGGGCCCGGCATGGCACTGTGGTGCAGCGAGTTAATGTCCTGGCCTGAAGCACCAGCAACACATATGGGCACCGGTTTGAGTCCCAGCTGCTCCTCTTCTGATCCAGTTCTCTGCTGTGGCCTGGGAAAGCAGTAGAAGATGGCTCAAGTCCTTGGGCCCTTGCACCCATGAGAGACCCAGAGGAGGCTTCTGCCTCCCGGCTTTGGATCAGCACAGCTCTAGCGGTTGCAGCCAACTGAGGAGTGAACCATCGGATGAAAGACCTCTCTCCCTCTCCCTCTCTCTCTCTCTCTCTGTCTCTGTCTGTCTCTCTCTCTGCTTATCCTCTCTCTGTGTAACTCTTTCAGATAAATAAATAAATCTTAAAAAAAAAAAAAAAAGAAACTGAAAGTTCACATTCCTGGCTCACTTATCCTCCACTCCTGCTCTTGTCATCACATATCAACAATAATGTGCAGTATGCAAATGATATCCTTGATACCTCATCTCCATGGCCTCTCTCTTCCACTACACTTCGGTGACCCCAATCCACAGATAATTCCTTGACTTGGCCAAGAGAAATCATAGTCCAGCCAAAATTCTAAATTCAAACGCCCAAGCCTCTAATATACTTTCCAATCCTTGCCATTAATTGGCTTTAGTATCAAAGCTTAAAAAAAATTCTTCCCCCTCACTGAACCTTGTAATCAATGGATCTCAACCATCTCATACCCGATTTTGTCCTCATCCCCTCCTCTGTTCAGCTTAGATTCTACACTTCTACAATCATTTCCTGGCAAAGCACCCTCACTTTCCTGTTCTTCTCTCCTTCCATCACAAACTCCAGTTCCAGATGACCCAAGTATCCACTTTCTTTGAGCACAAGCCCAAGTAAGCTCATACAAATAGGAAAAAACCACAGAGACTTCATTAAGAATTCAACACTACCTAGCAATCTTACTACTTACTCTTTTCCTGCTTTCTTTTTTCTAAAACATTTATTTTATCCACTTGAAATGCAGAGCAAGAGAGAGAGTGAGAAAACAGACACACACACACACACACACAGAGAGAGAGAGAGAGAGAGAGAGAGAGAATGGGAATGATCATCCATCTGCTGGTTCACCCCACAAATGCTCTCAATAGCTAGGGCGAGCCCAGGCTGAAGCCAGCTGGAACCCCATCCAGATCTCCCATGTGCGTGGTAGGGGCACAAGCAGTTGAGACATCATCTGCTGCCTCCCAGGATGTATTAGCAGGAATGGAATGGAAGTGGAGTAGCTGGGACTTAAACTGGCATTCCAAATAGGATGCAGACATCCCAAAGAGACTTAACCACTGACTCCCCATACCTGTCCCCCTTTTTCCTGATTTCTAAGAACTATTTTACATTCTGACCTTTCAGGGTCCTTCCTTTTTTTTTTTTTTTAAGATTTCTTTATTTTTATTTGAAAGTCAGAGTTACACTGAGAGAGGAGAGGCAGAGAGAGAGAGAGAGAGAGAGAGAGAGGGAGAGGTCTTCCATCCGATGGTTCACTCCCCAGTTGGCCGCAACGGCCAGAGCTGTGCCAATCCGAAGCCAGGAGCCAGGAGCTTCTTCTGGGTCTCCCACGTGGGTGCAGGGGCCCAAGGGCTTGGGCCATCTTGTACTGCTATCCCAGGCCACAGGAGAGAGCTGGATTGGAAGTGGAGCAGCCGGGACTAGAACCAGTGCCCATATGGGATGCTGGGGCTTCAGGTCAAGGCGTTAACCCACTATGCCACAGCACTGACCCTGGTTCTTCCTTTTCAACAAATAATTTTTTTCTTATTTTGCTGAAACTACAGAACTTCCTCATGTTCCACCACCAAAACTACAAAATTATGGGCATCAATGATCTTCTTCTTCCCTCTCCCTATCAAAATCTAATCCTGCCACAGGCACTTTAAAAAGCACAGCTCCTCTTGCCTATTCTGGGACTTTATACTTCCAGTTAGATCTCCCTTCCTGTTTCATCCATGTCTCATGAACTGCTAGTGAAAATACAATCTGTTACAGTCTCTTGGGAATTAACAGTACCAGTTAAAAGTACACAAAATACATATATCCTTCAACTTAGCAAACCCATTCCTAGAATGTGTCCTATATAAGTAAATTCATTAGTGTTTTAGGATGGACAGGGAGACAGGGAGAAGGCTTTTTTGTTTTTAATAGAAATGACATCATTTTTTTTTCTTAAAGATTTACTTTAGTGTTTGAAAGGCAAAGTTAGAGAGGCAGAGGCAGAGAGAGAAAGGTCTTCCATCCTCTGGTTCACTCCCCAAATGGCCACAATGGCCAGAGCTGAGCTAATCCGAAGGCAGGAGTCAGGAGCTTCTTCTGGGTGCCACGTGGGTGCAGGGACCCAATGAGTTGGGCCATCCTCTGCTGCTTTCTCAGGTGCATTAGCAGGGAGCTGGATTAGAAGTGGGGCAGCCAGTACTCAAACCGGCACCCAGATGGGATGCCAGAGCTGCAGGCTGGGTCTTTAATCCCCTGTGTCACCGTGCCAGCCCCAGACAAAAGGTTTTTACAACTTTATTTTTAGTGACAAAAATGAAAACAAAGTAAGTACATAATCAATAGTGAAAAGTGGGATAAATTATGGTAGAACTATCCATGGATCATCATAGAATCTTAAAAGAATGAATTACATCTCTAACATTATAGGTCTACTTCCTTCCTTTCACTTGTCTTTTGTCCCTATAGCACTGAAAATGCTTGTGCAATGGCAACCATTAATCTAGATGCTGCCAGATCCATACTACCTTTCTAATCCTATTAGAACCACCCAACAGAGTTGCCCATTCCCTTCTTTCCAGAAATATCCCTCTCTCAGCCTCCACGATACTACCTTCTCCTAGATTTCTTCCTAACTCATTAGCGTTTTCTCAATTTTCTTTGCAAGCTGTCTCTTCTGTCTGACCTTGAAATGCTGGCATTCTTCAGGGCTTAGTCCTTCATCCTCTTCTGAAGTGAGCTCATCCACTCTGAGGGCTCTCTCTGCCTCTCTCTCCCTCTCTGCCTCTCTCTCTCTCTCTCTCTCTCTGCTTCTCTCTCTCTCTCTCTGCCTCTCCTTCACTGTGTAACTCTGACTTTCAAGTAAATAAATAAATCTTAAAAAAAAAAATGGGGCCAGCACTGTGGTGTAGCAGGTTAATGCCTTGGCCTGAAGTGCCAGCATCCCATATGGGCACTGGTTCAAGTCCCGGCTGCTCCACTTCCAATACAGCTCTCTGCCATGGCCTGGGAAAATAGTAGAAGATGGCCCAAGTCCTTGGGCCCCTGCACAAGCGTGGGAGACCTGGAAGAAGCTCCTGGCTCCTGGCTTCGGATTGGCACAGCTCTGGCCGTTGCGGCCAATTGGGGAGTGAACCATTGGATGAAAGACCTCTCTCTCTCTCCCCTCTCTCTCTGTGTAACTCTGACTTTCAAATAAATACATAAATCTTTAAAAATAGATAAATAAATAAATAAATCCAGAATGAAACAACAAAATAGCATTATTTTAAAAAAATTTGTGCAACCCCCCACCAGACCCAACCTACACTGGAAGTCTGAGTCTTTGCCAGTTTTTCCCACCTGAGTAAATAGTATCACCGTCTATGCAGACACTAAAAGCAGGAGAAAGTGCTGTCCCTTGAGCCCTCAGACATCATCAAATCATGTTGATTCTACACAATGTATTTCACTAGACAGCCTCTTCTACCTCCTTTGCCACCAGCTTAATCCAAGAAACCCCTAACCAGTCTGCTTCTATTCTTGCCCTGCCACCATTTATAACCCATTCTCCACAAAACAGCCACTGTGACATTTTTAGAACTTAAATCAGACTGTGTCGTTCTTCTTAAAATCTTCCAATGGTTTCCCACTATTCTTAAATAAAATATAAACCAATAAAATGGTGAACATGACCCAATTGTTTTTTTTTTAGATTCATTTATTTTCACTTGAAAGTCACAGTTATACAGAGGGAGAAGGAGAGGCAGAAAGGGAGAGAGAGAGGGCTTCCATCCGCTGGTTCATTCCCCAACAGGCCGCAACAACTGGAGCTGTGCTGATCCGAAGCCAGGAGTCAGGAGCCTCCTCCAGGTCTCCCACATGGGTTCAGGGGCCAAGGACTTGGGCCATCTCCCACTTTTCCCAGGCCATAGCAGAGAACTGGATCAGAAGTGGAGCAGCAGGGACTCGAACTGGTGCCTACATGGGACGCTGGCACTTGCAGGCAGCAGT